CGGGAGTTTTACAAGGGGAGCCGATGTCACCTTATTTATTTATACTTTTATAAATGATTTAATCGGTCTCTACAATAATTCAGATTTACCGGGAATATATCTCCCAAATTATGGATATGTTCATATTCTACTATACGCAGACGATATTGTCTTGATTGGAGAATCCAAAAATAACCTTCAAATAAAAATCAATATGCTAAGAAAATATTTTGAAACAAATTTATTAACCCTGAATGAAAATAAGTCAAAAATAGTAGTTTTCAGAAACGGCAGTCGATTAGCACAAAATGACAAATGGTTTTGGGGTGAGCGGCAACTGTCTGTTACTACGAAATATCTATACTTGGGATATCCGCTTACAAGTGCAAATTCACTAAACAAGGTAGCGTCACACTACAAGGGCAAAGCCCTGGCAGCAATTGGCGCTGTGTGGCAAGTTCTGACAAAATCCAAGATGAACTCTCTAAATGCGGCAATGAGATTACTTGATTCGACGGTCTTGCCTCACATGCTATACGCCGCACCCTGCTGGGCACTCAACCAAGTAAAGGTAGTTGACCAGGTTCAGAATATTTTCCTAAGACGCTACCTAAATTTACCAAAGTATACTCCGGGCTTTATGCTAAGAATGGAGTGTGGACGAGTATCATAGGAAGTTATCATAACTAAACAGGTCCTGAGATTTTGGGTGAGGATTATGAAAATGGAGGAGAGTAGGTTGCCCCGGGCATGTTTGTCACACCTCTGGACATTGCACAGCAATCAAAGGGCTGGTTCAACCTTTGTCGAAAACCTGTCAACCATTTTAGACTCAAACGGTTTTTCGTTCCTGAAGGGTTGTCCGGATTACACTGCAATACTGACTGAAATCCCTGCTATTATTCGAATAGCAACCGAACAAAGCATCCAAAGCGACATGGCGAAAATCCTAAATACTTCACATTACAGTCACTTCAAATACCTAAAAAATTCAATAACAGCAGAACGATATTTATTCACAACTATTCCTCTAGCAATTAAAAGATTTTTTGCACAACTGAGACTCCTATGGACGATCTTCCCAGAAAATCGTTCAAAGCGCTGGAAGATTGATTTGACTCTAACTTGCGATCTGTGTAAAAACAGAATCCAAGACGAAATTATGCATATAATATTTGGATGCTCTTGCTTAGAGAAACAGAGGAAAGAAATTTTGGGTGACTTACCCTGGTCTCAACCTGACTGCCAACAAATTTGCAGCTGGATGAACACACTGATGGTTGATCAGGGTCTCTCCCTCGGTTTATATAAATCGTTGGAGAATAATGGATTCGCCGAATGTCGTGGTTTGCTTGGAGGAAGAAGGCGAAGATTGAACGCGGCTGATTCCACACTAGCCCTCTCAATGATATCCTAACCTTGACATATCCTAAACATTGGTACTTTAATTTAAACATTTAATCATGTATGGTTCCTTTTGCTCTGTATGTTTATTTTTTGTATATATGGTTATATTTCTTTTTGTTTGTTTTTTCTTTCTTCTCTCTTTTCTTTTTCCTTATTACCTCTTGTATTATAGTTTTTACTTTTGAAATATCTTCCTTTGCTAAATCCTGTAGAGGGGAATCATGTATAGGGCTGGATGCCCCAATAAAAAGGCTTGTGTGTGTGTGTATTAAAAACTAATTGCATCACCTTTACTTATGCATTACGAGTATTTACCGATTGTTCAAGCAGCATCAAAAGTTCTCTTTCTTGAAAAGCCAAAAGTACCTGACTCCGTTATAAGTTCAAGTAATGCAATTCCTTGCTGATTTAAAAAAAAAACACATGCAGGTTTTTGTGAAAAACTAATCTCAGCAACTTTACTTATGTATTACGAGCATTTACCGATTGTTCAAGCATCATCAAAAATGCTATTTTTAAAAGGTCAATATGATCCGAATCTGTTGTAGTCCAAGCAGGATATTTCATTACACCAATAAACTACTTAAATAAGTCTAAACAAATTTACCTTTCCATTGCGAGCATTTACCTATTGTCTTAGAATTATTAAAAGTGTGCGGGATCTTTTTGAAAACCAAACCAATGAGAATCCGTAGTTGTAGATTCTATACACAATTCTCTCCATACTTTACCCAATATCTACATCCAATGAGATGTCCTGATGTAGATTTTAAAACAATTTTATTGACCTCTGTCAATAAAAACCTCCTACACATAGAGTTAAGAGATTTTTGTCTGACTTATTAGTCCACTATTTTATTTCAAATCTATATCAGCTCTGTTATATCCTCCATTGGGTAATAGGTTATAAATGTTGTAAAATGTATGCACTAATCAAAAATAGCGTCATTAAACTATTCTTTCTTCTTTTTTTTTTTTTTCAGTTTGTCTCTTGGTTGAAATCAATAAGATTTGTCTTTCCCTATAACGTTTATTCCGTTTTCTGCCTTGAATTCTTCTTTCTAAAGAGTGAATTGAGTATAATTAAACAACAACAACAAAAAGGCTTTTATTAGGGCCCATTGCCCTGTATGAATTCGCCATACAACAACAAAATAATACAGTTTTTTTCCCTCCCTTTCCCATTCTGCATGTGAGCCTTTGTTTGAAAAGGGATTTATTTACACATCTGTTCTAAAACTTTTCTCCACTACCTGTATGAATCTATTTACAATTGATCTGTAGAAATTATAGAGTTCTATTGCTATATTTGAGTATAATTGAACAATAATTTCCATAACAACTTCGACTTCTAATGGTAAGTTGGTACAGTGCTGATGGAATTTCCTCAATGTGTGTGTGTGATAGTTCCTAAATACTTTTCAGAATGTTCTAGTTTTGTCTTTATACTCTTTTATTCCCAATTCCGATATTTCTTGATTCAGAACTTTATCTGAGCACTCAGTTTTGTCTTTCTATACCTTATCTACAATCCCAGAGTTTTCTAGATTCAACACTTTGTTAGAACACTCAGTTTCGTCTTCCTATACCTTATCCATAATCTCAGAGTTTTCTAGATTCAACACTTTGTCAGAACACCCAATTTTGTCTTTCTATACCTATTCATTTTCGGAAATGTTTAACTCCAGCAGCCTCCTTCTAGAACTGGTAATTGTTCCTCTACATGACGAAGTCTTGGTGGGGAAAGTGAAATATGCATTATTTGTCCCCTTGCAGATTTAGTTAAATAAAATCTCAATGATCATAACTTTTGACGTAGATTGTATGATTGACTGTAGAGAAAACATGTCGTGCGAGATTTCTATATTATTGGATGGCTGGGTCCTCTCTCTACATGACACTTTCCCTGGAGATGTCCAACATACCAACAACCATACACGCTGTACATATGTCTCTTTTCCTTTAAACTACCTGGAGATGTCCAACATACCAACAACCATACACGCTGTACATATGTCTCTACCTGGAGATGTCCAACATACCAACAACCATACACGCTGTACATATGTCTCTTTTCCTTTAAACTACCTGGAGATGCCCAACACATCAGCAACCTTTCTGTACAACAGCATATTCGTTATTCTATACGTTAATCAATACTGTAGATCTCTAAAACTACAGCACCCTAATAGATACCGTTGTAGTTGATTCCCTACATTTACTGTAGACTCCAGAACACCTCTACCTGAACGGGAGGGCAGCACTCCGGCGCTACGGGGAAGCGAACGCCCAAGGTCGTCAGGCATTTCCTCCTCGTTCCTTTCCTGATGTTGCCAGGGTTATCTCCGCAGTGGTGTTTCCTCAGATTCTCCTAGCAACAAACTAATGGGTGGCTAGAGTGTTTGTATCTACAAAGACGTTATAAGCACACTCAGTCGTATAAATTGTTTCACTTAGGGAAATCTCCAAAATCAAATATAAGTAATATATATTTAATTTAAAAGACATATATTGGATCAAAATATCATTTATTTTACCAATATATACCTTTTTATGTGAGCAATAGTTACCGAGAAATTATTTGAAAAAGTAAAAATTGAATCAGGTAAATAGTTTCTTTTTATTTATATTTGCTAGCTTTCGAGCAAATTAACTGCTCTTCAACGGGCTGATATTCTTTGTACAAACTCAAAATATTATTTATACACAGTAAAATTGAAAATTATATTTGTTATTAGCATGTGCTCTCGCGGGCGTGCATCAGATTGTTTCCAGCTAAAGTAATAGATATATTATATACTGGGATTAAATATATTTACATTCTAATAATTATTAATATTTAGATTATTTGTCAGGGATATTTTTATATTGGGTTGGGAGGTCAATTTTTCTATTGATGCTATTTATTTTTGATGATACCAGTGCTTCTAGGAATAATCGTTGTTGTTTTCTTTCTATGTCTTGATAATGGGCTATTGCTTGTTTGAGATTGAATGTGTGTCCAGTGGTGCTGGTGTGCTGATATATTAAGGATCTATTGTCTTTGTATCTTATGTTTCTCTCGTGTTCTTTTAGTCTGGTGTCTATTGTCCTACTCGAAAGCTAGCAAATATAAATAAAAAGAAACTATTTACCTGATTCAATTTTTACTTTTTCAAATATACCTTTTTAATTAAAGATTTATTTATGGATTGCTCTATTTAAATAAATATATATATAAACATATATACAGTCGAACTTGAATAATTCGAAAACCAAGAGACAAAAAAAAATCGAATTAAGGCAGCTTACCTATTTCACCATGCTTGAAAATTAAAGTTACGTTATTACTCGCCCTGGGTCCAATAGACCCCATCTCCATTTTATTGTGTATTATAGGGCAACAAAATTAAATTATTATATGTCTGCATATTAATTGTCATATAAAATTAAGCTACTAAAGTTTTGAGCTTTAAATGTTTTATAGAATTTTAGATATTTAATGAAATAAGTGTGTCTGGGGTCTATCAGACCCCGCGCAAGTGCTTAAAGGTTAAAAACGTTTTGAATAAAAGGCTTAAAATTCTAGGGACCAAGATAAATATTTGAATTAAAGACGTTTTCGAATTATCCAAGTTCTACTGTAAAGGGTAGCCTAGTGGACATGGCATCAGCCCGGTAAGCGGAACATTGTGGGTTCGATTCCCATCCCTGGACACTTTTATTTTTCCGTTCATCATTACTCTTCATAATTCACCCTTTCATACTTCATCCAAAAAGGTTAGAAATAGTCAATATTTCACCTTGAAATAAATTTTGATTTTTCATTGAAAAGAAACTCATGCGGTGTAACTTCAAGTGTTGTTTTACAATCACAGGCCGCAGTGTATTATATAAAATATATATATGAAAAAATAGCACAAATGTGAAATTGTACTGGGATCAGGTGGATAAATTAAGAAAAAGGAATCTCCATATCGTACAACTGAAAGTTGCTGATGTCTTAAAAATCAACGAATAGTTGATATTTATTCAGACTAATGCATAGTTCATCTAAAATACCCATTCCAAGAGTCTAACAACAGTATCACTATAAAAGGAAGTTCCAAAAATGCAATATAACAGCGGTATGGTAGATTAAACTGGCGAAACCGCTGGGAGGGTTCACCACTGATGAGCCAGGTCCTCCCATTAATTTTTCCATTGCAGTGAGGGCAGTAGAAATTGTTTAATTTCAAAAAGAATCTTACGCGTCTAAAATAGTTTCTAATTTTCATAACAGATGGCGCGCTAGTGCATCGTAATATTTATATGTAAAAAAGTTTCAGGTACGCGTTTCTAGCTGGTGGCCTTCGTCATCATTGAGCAGGCTGTACCTCAACAAGCCCTTAAATTGTTCATAGATTATTCTTAATAAATCAATAAAATGTTTCAGAGCATGGGGGAACATAAACATGCAGAAAAAGTAAACAAAGTATAGATATTTAATAATATCAAAAAGTACCCAGGGTTAAGTTTCTTGCACAATTTTATTTCTCTAGATTTCGGGCTAATATGCCCTTCAACAGGAACAACTAGTATTTGATATATGATTTATTTATGATTTAGAGCACAATAGTCATGATTAGATTTTTATAATTTGGCTCTAGTAGTTATTTTATTTATTTCAACACACAAAACGCGATATCCCGACTAGGGATAATTGCGACGATTTACTTTTTTTTAAAACAGAAACAGTTATAAACATATTATACAAGAAAAAGTAATTAAAAATAAAAAAGAGAAACAATAATATATATTAGGAACCTGAACCTTTCAAGTTTGAAATATAATCATAAATATGTTTACAAAAATAGTTAAATCTATGATAATTCTCTCTGCTATTTACAAATTGATATAGATCTACAACATTGTTTACTGTCTGTTGTCTAGCGCTAAAAAAGAGTGGGCATTCCAGCAGTAGGTGTCTCGAGTCCTGGAATTCGTTGCCACAATGACAGCTAGAGTCTTCAACTGCTCCAATTTTTGATAAAAATCCCTTAAAATTTCTAGGCTCGTTGTAAACTGGGCATTATAAAAATTCGAACGGAAAAATGTTGGAATTCCAAACGGGAAAAAGCTTTGGAATGTTTAATTTGTTTTTAGAAATAATTCATCCATTTTTGCACTTAAAAATGAGCTAATTATACTCGGAGAATTGTGTGTTATAGAATATATAGAATTATACAATATAGAATTGCGGGAGGATTATATTCATGTACGTAGAGAAATAGCTCTTCCTTTTTCATTGTACATCAGTGCATCGTTCTGATGTATAATTAAAGGGGGATATCTCTTTCTACGTACAAATAGAATTATAGTTAGCTGGAAGTTTACTACTAGTTACTTCTGTTGAAGGGCATGCTAGCCCAAGAGCTAGAGAAATATTATTGTGTAAGAAACTTAACCCTGGAGGCTTTATGATATTATTAAATTATAAAATTTCTTTTTTTTTTACACAGTTCTCTATTCTCGTTAAAATTTCAGAGCTTCATTTGTCCTTAGAATGTTTAAACTCTTAATTTTTTTATCTTCTCTTTTAATAATATTGATAAATGAACAAAATATTTTAATATAAATATTTGATGGCAATGTTTTTTTTTCGCTCTCTCTTTCTCCTTGTTAATATCATATGACTATTCTTTACGGCCTGAAAGTATTATACATATGTATAGACAACTGTAGAGGTAAACATGTATAACAGTGCAAGTGTCTCTAGTGGAACATAGCTCTTTGAATTGAATAAATGAATATTATTAAATTATAAGTCTGAAGAAGAACGTTTATATATATATTAAAGTAAAAAAGAAAATAATCATATAGTTGCAAAATAATGATAGAGATATTTTATATCTTTCTCTCTTTATCAATATTTTACTACCCTAATTATCCTTTGCTTTGTTTTTCACTTTTTAAACGTTTTGTTTTAATGTCGTATTGAATCATTTATGATCAAGGATATATACATTATGTGGTGAGCAATATATAGTCTCCGGAAATTGAACCCCCCCCCTCTCTCCCCCTTTCCTCTCCTTGAATATCAAAATCCGGTCAGGAAGGGGAAAAGCGGAAGCGGAAGGGACGTCTGGGTAGATCAAAGCAAGTAGTCCTCGTTGTCTGAGCATTGAGGCAGAAAGGGACATTCCTGGTTGTGCTGCCCTCTACCAACCATCAGTGGTGATGAATAGAACCCTAAAGTCGTTTATAGAGAAGAGAGTGACAATTAAAAGTAATTTATTGACATCTAGTCAACAGCAAAATGAGAGTTTACAATTAGAGTTAAAAATAAAGATAAATATTTACACGAGACGGAGCCTTCTCTGAAGGGACGTCTGGATTCTATCAGGAGCTTAAAGCCGCCTTGAGTTCAGACAGTCAATGACAGAGTTCTTGTCCCCAACATGCTCGATGACAATGTTGAGGAATTTGGAGAGAATAATCTTCAGGCGAGAGTATCTCGAGGAGATGATTCCTATCACTGCGGTATAGAACCGCGAACGTGATATTTCTCCTGATTATATTTTCCTCATAATAGGGGGCTTAGGAAAGTTACATCGTTACTTTTTTTCAAGTATCTCCATTACTGATTCTCGCGTTCCTCGTCCCACTCAATGGGTGCAGGAGCTTATAGAGAAGAGAGTGATTCAATGTGATATCCGAAATCACTCTAAAATTAAATTTGATGATAAATCTTAGATTATATAAAGGGTTAAGCCCTCCAGAAGTTTTAATCGGTTAATCATTAGACCTATCTACTATTGTGTTTGCTATATTCGGCTCATATCCCAAATATTCTCAAAATAGATCAATACATTGTTAAATCTATATATGAAAAGAGGTATATCAAAAAGGTTTTTTTTTTTTTTTACAATATATACCAATGTTTGAATTGCATCTGGCCATCTGAAAGAATAATAATAATAAACGACGTTCAATTTAAACGACTTGATCCAAACCTTCAATCCTTGAAATTTATATATTTCTGTGTGTGGATTAAATTATAGAATAAATTCACTAAATGATAATTCATTGTCAATTGTTTTACTTTTCTAATACTAAGAAAGTTATAAGCCCAAAAATAAATATTTTTTCCACATTCCCTAATTATATATATATAACTACATTCACTATATAGATATTTTGTAATGTAGTTGTGATCCTGGGGGAGACATTAATAGACTAGCAACAGGTGATACATCAAGTTGTATCATGCCACGTTTTCCCACCGCTAGATGTCCCAGAATGTCATCACTGGTCATATGGTGACAGTGACAGGCCGGGGTTAATTATATATATATTTATGTTTGAAAAATAGATAAGTGAATAAATACCTTTATTAGACATTGTAACAAAGAGGACAAGGTTTTAAATTTATTTGACATGTTTTAGCCTTCAAGCGTTTTTAATCTAGTTCTAGATCATTTTGGTTACGAAATATATAATTTGTTTCTAATAAAACTAGTATAAATATCATTAAAAAAAGACAACCGGCGACATAAAAATAAGAAACTTTCTTAAAATTTGTCCATGAGTGTATAAAAAAAGTAATAACCTTTTATTTTAAAACATTTCTAATATATATTCAATAGAACTGGGATTTTCTCCTGTTAAGATAACTTCTTAAGGGATTTAAAAAATATAGGTATCTACCAATAGGGCTCAATGTGTTACACAGAAACTTTTAGAATTTGACTATCATTTTTAAACCTGAAATACGAGACAATTTTCACAGCGAGCAGGTGTGAGTTATTGGTAGGGCCACCCAGGCATTGCCAAAGCTAACTGAGCGAGCGGTCGTCCTGGCACTCGATCAGTGGAGGCACCGCTAGAAGGCCGCAAAGTCGCAAATAAACATAATGATACCAAAAAAACAATAAAAATTTTTTTATTACAGTAGAACCTCTCTTTAACAGACACCCCGCTAGCGGACACTTCTCCACAAAGGACAGTTCTCATTTGCAAAAATACCATTTTTACAATTTAGCAACTCTCCCTAAAGGATATTTTGGCTCTGCAATTAGGTGTCCTTTATACAGAGAGGTTCAACTGTATATTTTTCGAAGTTGAGTCGATAATATTAGTTTCGATATTTGTAAGAGAAGGGGTAGAGAAGAGAAAGTATGTAGGTGGGATAGAGGGATAGGATATTTAAAAAATAAAAGGGATTATTTAAAATGAAAAGTAAGAGTAAAAAACATCAAATAATAAAAATATTCACATCTGGAATTTATTAGAGTTTCACGAAATTAGAATACTATTATATATTGGTTTAAAAAAACAATAAGTATGTTGTGTTTAAAATGTAGTGGCATCTCCTTTTGTTCTCATAACTGCTTGAATCCTTTCTGGCATTGTCTGGACTTAAGTGCTGACATGTGTCTAAAGATATTTTCTTCCACTCGTTTACTTTTTTTTTTCAAAAAAATTTGAAGCACTTGAATGGGTCTTTTTTCAACCTTGAATTTAATACCGACTACAAATCTATTGGATTAATATCAGGGTAATTTAAAGGCCAATTAAAAACTGCAATGCAATATTCATCTATCCATTATTTAGTTGATTTGAATGAAAGGCAGGATGTGCTAAATCTTATTGAAATATGAGACAATGATATGGTTCAATAGGTTCAAAAGTAAGGGGAGAGTATCGTCTAACAAATTATCTAGGTACACTGCCTCT